TGGGGCCCTTCACCCTCACCCCTGAGCAGGTGAGTCATAACTGGGGCCCTTCACCCTCACCCCTGAGCAGGTGAGTCATAACTGGGGCCCTTCACCCTCACCCCTGAGCAGGTGAGTCATAACTGGGGCCCTTCACCCTCACCCCTGAGCAGGTGAGTCATAACTGGGGCCCTTCACCCTCACCCCTGAGCAGGTGAGTCATAACTGGGGCCCTTCACCCTCACCCCTGAGCTGGTGAGTCATACCTGGGGCCTTTCACCCTCACCCCTGAGCAGGTGAGTCATAACTGGGGCCCTTCACCCTCATCCCTGAGCAGGTGAGTCATCAGCAGCCTGATCGTGTTGCCCCCTTCCCCCAGATGGGGATCGGCCTGGTCAGCAACCTGATCGTGTTCCCCCCTTCCCCCAGATGGGGATCGGCCTGGTCAGCAACCTGATCGTGTTCCCCCCGTCGCTGCTGATCGTCTTCCTCTTCAGGAAGGCGCGGCCCCGCGTCCTTCGAGAGTCGCGCATCGACGCCGCCATCAAGAGGACCGTCAAAAGTGGGTCAAGAGTGGGTCAAGAGTGAGAGGTATGAGTGGGTCAAGAGTGAGGGGTATGAGTGGGGGCATGAGTAAGGAACATGAGTGGGAGAGAAGTTTGGGTAAGGGGCATGAGTGAGGGGGCAAAAATGAGGATGAGTAATCACAGCTTGTGAACAATGTGCGCGGCAGTGCAGTTTACTTACCAACTAATACGTCGAATACATAACACGTACATACTAAACATACAATAAAATATATGAAAAAACATTTAATTTTCTTAATGCAGCATGCATTGATATGATAAAGTGCTTTTCAACAGAACTGAACGCCAAAAAAATCGACAAGACGGGCACAGGATCTAAGGTCCCTGGGTCGTCCGGCGACAACATGAAGAAGTGAGTACTGCCAATATATGTACTCCAAATCCTCAGTATCCTTAGTACATGTTTTTTTCGTAGCAGTCCTAAGAGCAGGAGTGCCGCCTCTGTATTCCTCTGCCCTGAGCCCCGGTGGACTTGTTGTCCTCGCCGTGTCAGAGGCCAGTCTGTAATTACCGCGCACCTGCCCTCGGTTGTCCTCGCCGTGTCAGAGGCCAGTCTGTAATTACCGCACAACTGCCCTCAGTTGTCCTCGCCGTGTCAGAAGCCAGTCTGAAATTACCGCGCACCTGTCCTCAGTTGTCCTCGCCGTGTCAGGGGCCAGTCTGAAATTACCGCGCACCTGTCCTCAGTTGTCCTCGCCGTGTCAGAAGCCAGTCTGAAATTACCGCGCACCTGTCCTCAGTTGTCCTCGCCGTGTCAGAGGCCAGTCTGAAATTACCGCGCACCTGTCCTCAGTTGTCCTCGCCGTGTCAGGGGCCAGTCTGTAATTACCGCGCACCGGCCCTCAGTTGTCCTCGCCGTGTCAGAGGCCAGTCTGTAATTACCGCTCACCTGCTCTCAGTTGGGCGAGCTGATAACCTCAGTTTTGCCAGCTGATGCACGATGCTGTTGCTCGCTTCTTGCCACCGGTAGTGGTGCAGAGGCGGACAATCAGGGATTGTGCCCAGAAACACGTCCAGTCGTCTTTTGCAGGCCTTAAGAGTGAACTCCTCTTCTTTTAGCTCCTTTATCACGACGTTAAACAGCCTCGGTTCCTCTTCGGAAAGTGATCTTTTCGCAAAGATTTAAATGTGACCATAGCTCTGTTGCGTAACGTGGATATCAAGCACAGTCTCTCTCCTCTTGCTTTTTGGTATTCCACAATCCTGCAAGGTCTCAGTTTCGAATTTAGGTGCCACTACAATTATTATTTTGAATGTGTAGAAAAAGACACTCCTTTCCTCTCCTCTGTAATGAGTACAGACCTCTTCCCATTAGTCCAGCTTCCTCATCCCGATGATCCTGGACGTTATGGTTTGTTGGACCGCTACAAATTGCCGCACGCCTCCTAACGTGAACTGGGTTCATAGCTGGCAGCAGTATTTATGGAGAGGGAGCCCATGGGCTCAGAAGAATGTTATCATTCGGAACGCTTCTCTTATCCCGAAAGTCCGCTAGGTCCCCCCCAATGAGTCATGTGACAGCGCTGGTACTTCGAGTGTATACAGTGGGCACTAATGTATTATTATATAGTCAAGACTACAGTATAGCTTTGCCGAGAATACTCCCCTCACCTGCACCTTCCTTCACTCACCCTCTTCCTCACTCACACTCCCCCTTACCAACCACCAGGGTTGAGCGCAAGAAGAGGTTTACGCTACCATGGTGGTGCAGCCTGGTGGCGTGGGTGCTAGTGGCAGCGTGCCTGGTGGTGTCCGTGTTCTTCTTGTTCTCGTACGGCATCATGTTCGGTCAGAGCAAAGCCACCAAATGGATCACGAGCCTGGCCGTGTCATTCTTCTCCAGCGTCCTGCTCGTACAGCCCCTCAAGGTGGGTCACCAGCGTCCTGCTCGTACAGCCCCTCAAGGTGGGTCACCAGCGTCCTGCTCGTGCAGCCCCTCAAGGTGGGTCACCAGCGTCCTGCTCGTACAGCCCCTCAAGGTGAGTCACCAGCGTCAGCCCCTCAAGGTGGGTCACCAGCGTCCTGCTCGTGCAGCCCCTCAAGGTGGGTCACCAGCGTCCTGCTCGTACAGCCCCTCAAGGTGAGTCACCAGCGTCCTGCTCGCGCAGCCTCTCAAGGTGGGTCACCAGCGTCCTGCTCGTGCAGCCTCTCAAGGTGGGTCACCAGCGTCCTGCTCGTGCAGCCTCTCAAGGTGGGTCACCAGCGTCCTGCTCGTACAGCCCCTCAAAGTGGGTCACCAGCGTCCTGCTCGTGCAGCCCCTCAAGGTGGGTCACCAGCGTCACTTTCATTTTTTCTTCTATCACAAAGATTTTCCTAGTAATTATTTTGAATCTCAGTTATGCCGCCTACATTTTTCTCATCAAGTTGTTAAATCTTGCTGCTATCTCTTAGATATTCTGATCACGATTTTAAACCTCCCTTCCGTTGCTAATATTTTCCTCGTTACGATTTGAATCTCGCTTCTGTTCCTCAGATTTTCCTGATCACTATTTTCGTGAGCGCCGTGTGTAAGAAGACCGACCTGGACGAGGACGACGTGGAGGACGATGAGCTGAGCCCCGAGCTGGACGTGGACCATGAGTGGCTGCATGACCATCTTGGTGGGTTGACCATGAGTGGCTGCATGACCATGTTGGTGGGTTGACCATGAGTGGCTGCATGACCATGTTGGTGGGTTGACCATGAGTGACTGCATGACCATCTTGGTGGGTTGACCATGAATGGTAGCATCACTTTGTTGGTGGGTTGACCATGAGTGGCTGCATGACCATGTTGGTGGGTTGACCATGAATGGCTGCATGACCATTTTGGTGGGTTGACCATGAGAGGCTGCATGACCATGTTGGTGGGTTGACCATGAGAGGCTGCATGACCATGTTGGTGGGTTGACCATGAGTGACTGCATGACCATCTTGGTGGGTTGACCATGAATGGCTGCATGACCATCTTGGTGGGTTGACCATGAGAGGCTGCATGACCATCTTGGTGGGTTGACCATGAGAAGCTGCATGACCATGTTGGTGGGTTAACCATGAATGGCAGCATCACTATGTTGGTGGGTGAGGAACTGCTGATAAGTCGCTAATTATTGCTCGCTCATAAGCAGAGGTAGAAGCTGATATAACTTCGTTGTGTTAAACAGATAATTTCTCCTATGTCGCTTTATAGTGCGACTGCGGATTCACGATCAAAAGCTGTGCAGTATCCAAATTTCGTTTATTCATGCCCTATTGACCTGATACACGCCCCCAGGAGAGCGTCAGAAGTTGTACCACCGCAAGATTGACCCATCACTCATTGAGAAGCTGCGTAAGAAAAGACTCAACGAGAAGGAGATGTACGCCATCATCCTGGAGCTCCTGGTGTACGTTATATTCATCAGCGTCTTACTCAGCCTCACCTACAGCAACAGGTGAGTTGTGGTATTCAACAACGTTCATCTTTATTCCTGTTTTCCCGTTATCTCTTATGATACCTCCAGGTCTGTCACTGTTTACCCCTTTCCTGTCATCCCATGTGCCTCCTCCTCCTCGAACTGTTCTCCCCCATTCCTGTTGCCACTTATGCCTCCTCTCGGCTTGGAGCTGTTCTTCCCCGTTCCTGTTGCCACTTATGCCTCCCCTCGACCTGGAGCTGTTCTTTCCCGTTCCTGTTGCCACTTATGCCTTCTCTCGGCTTGGAGCTGTTTTTCCCCGTTCCTGTTGCCACTTATGCCTCCTCTCGGCTTGGAGCTGTTCTTCCACATTCCTGTTGCCACTTATGCCTCCCCTCGACTTGAAGCTGTTCTTCCCCGTTCCTGTTGCCAGTTATGCCTCCTCTCGGCTTGGAGCTGTTCTTCCCCGTTCCTGTTGCCACTTATGCCTCCTCTTGGCTTGGAGCTGTTTTTCCCCGTTCCTGTTGCCACTTATGCCTCCCCTCGGCCTGGATCTGTTCTTCCCCGTTCCTGTTGCCACTTATGCCTCCTCTGCTTGGAGCTGTTCTTCCCCGTTCCTGTTGCCACTTATGCCTCCTCTTGGCTTGGAGCTGTTTTTCCCCGTTCCTGTTGCCACTTATGCCTCCCCTCGGCCTGGATCTGTTCTTCCCCGTTCCTGTTGCCACTTATGCCTCCTCTCGTCTTGGAGCTGTTCTACCACGTTCCAGTTGCCACTTATGCCTCCTCTCGGCTTGGAGCTGTTCTTCCCCGTTTCTGTTGCCACTTATGCCTCCTCTCGGCTTCGAGCTGTTCTCCCACGTTCCTGTTGCCCCTTATGCCTCGTCTCGGTTTGGAGCTGTTCTCCCACGTCCCTGTTGTTACCAAAGTCCCCCGCTTTGCAGGGACCCGAACGCGTTTTTGCTGAGGGAGAACCTACGCCATTCGCTCATCCACGAGGGACGCTTGGACAACAAGGACTTCACTCAGGTGAGTCATGAGGCCCGCTGCGAAAGACTTCATTTAAGTCAGAATTCAGATACTAACTTACTCCCCTAAGATGGCGTCCTGTGGACGGGCTGACACCAATTTTCTCCCCCAAATTGGTGGCCTCTGTGTGGGCTGACCACGACTTACTCCCCTAAATGGGCGGCCTGTCTGCGGGATGACACTAACCTGCTCCCCCTGTGGGTGGGTTGACGCCAACATATTCCCTCAATGGGTCCATGGTTGAACTATATAAGGTTCACTCACGAGGATTTCCGTCTTTTAGTTCAGCTTTTTTGTTGCGTTACCAGGATCGAGAAACGTAAACAATCCCGTCATTCCCATAACGGATTGGTTGACTGGTCTGATTGCATTTCGGTGAATGGTTAATGCCCGTGACATCATGTAGTTAGTGACGTCACAGACGAATAACCAACTACATCCGCAAAAATGAGCTTCTCATGGGTCAACCTTATACTAGTTCAACCATGCAATGGGTCTGTCTGGCAGGTTACCAACACGGACAAACTCTGGGCGTACCTGCACTTTGGCTTCTTCCAATTCCTGCGCGCCGACAAGAGCTACAACGGTGCGTCGCCCTACCAACTCAAGGGCTTTATGAACGACCAAGTCAACAGGATCATGGGATACGCCACCATCAGGCAGATACGCGCTAAAAAATTTACCTGCTCGTAAGACCCTCGTTTGGTTACGTAAATCTTATATCTATACTAATGCACTTCAGATAAAAGCAAAACAGTGGAGTCGTAAATATATCTTATAGTTCTCTATGTGTTTGTTATTCTGCGGTGTTGAATTGAGCGGCTGAGGCAATGTTGAATACAACATCGACGAGTATAACATTGTAGAGTATTGCAGGGTAGCATGTAGCAGTGTAACAGTGTGAGCTTTCCTCAGGGTACCGCCTGAGATGCGCTCCATCACGCTGGAGTGCAGCGCCAACTCTGGTCTGGTCAACGAAGAGTCTACGAGCTACTGCGCCCACTGGCTGCTGCCCACCAACGATACCCGCGACACTGATGACTGCCAGGCAGACGAGTTCAGGTCAGTGTTCTGCTCCGATACTGCTGCTATCTTGCTTCAGCACTGCTCCGACGTTTCTGCTATCTTGCTCTAGCACTGTTTCGATCCTGCTGCCATCCTGCTCCCGCACTGCTCCAATACTTCTGCTATCTTGCTCCGGCACTGCTCCGATACTGCTGCTATCTTGCTCCAGCACTGTTCCGATACTGCTGCTATCTTACACCTGAAGTAATCCGATACTGCTGCTATCTTGCTCCAGCACTGCTCCGATACTGCTGCTATCTTGCCCCAGCACTGCTCCGATACTGCTGCTATCTTACTCCAGCACTGCTCCGATACTGCTGCTATCTTGCTCCAGCACTGCTCCGACATTGCTGCTGTCTTGCACCAGCACTGTTCCAATACAGCGGCTATCCTGCACCAGCACTACTGCGATTTTGCTCCTATACTGTTGTTATCCTGCTCCAATACTGCTGCTATTCTGCTCCAATACTGCTTTTTTTCTGCGCAAACGCTGCTCTGATATTGCTGCTATCTTTAGCTCATACTGCTCAAATACTGCTGCTTATCTGCTCTAACGCTGCTCCGATACTAATGCTATTATGATCTATAGCTGCTCCGATACTGCAGCATTCTAATCCAACAGTACATCAATCTGGCAGATATCCTGTATCGGTTTCTTCCTACCTAGCTTATATCCAACTACAACCCTGCTCATATACTGCAGCCATCCAGCTGTCAGCCTGCCCGTACACTGTCCCTACACTGCTCCAATAATGCAGAAACCCTGTTCTTAGTCTGCTCCTACCCAGCTGCCATCCGGCTATCTCCCTGCCCCTACACTGTTTCAATACTGCTGCTCCAATGCTCCAAACTAAAATGAACTAAAATTTGTGTCTGCATCAAGCAACACACGTACATACGTATCTCTGCTATTATTAAGTTCAGTATAATGGTTCGTAATTTAGCTTAGGCACTTTTCAGAGTTCGTACGTCATCTCTGCCGTATAATTTTTCCGCGTTAAAATTCGACCGGCTGCGATGCAAGATGTTGATCTGAATGCGAATCTGTTGCCAGGATCAATTTTTTATACGAATGTTCTATGGCTTACTATTATTGACGTTGTAGCATAAACTGCATATCTTCGAGTTAAAAATAGTAATAATATAAACAATAATAATACTAATAGTAATAATAATAATGATAATAATGATAATAATGTTGCATGGATCAATTTTTACATGAATATTTTTTGGCTTACAATTATTGACATTGCAGTATAAACTGCATATCTTCCAGTTAAAAATAGTAATAAAATTAATAATAATAATAATAATAGTAATAATAATGATAATAATGATAATAATGATAATAATTATAATAAAACCACTTCTCCAATGTTAGGTACGCTACCGCGACAGAACTGCGATCCCTACCAATCTGGGGTAAGCGTGACTGGTACGGAGGCGGTGGGTACGTGATCAGGCTACGTGCCAAGACCGACGTGCTTCTTGAACGTCTCACGTACCTCCAGCAGACGCACTGGATCGACCGCATGACGCGTGCTGTGCTCATTGAGTTCTCGACCTACAATGCCGGCGTGAGACGCGACGCTCATAGTATAGTATAGTATAGTATAGTATCTTCGGCATTAAATAAATAGGCCTGGATAGGCCTGTCGCCGATTCTTGTACTTTTCTTGACTAGACTGGCCTTACGGACGGTAGATTTAAAATCGCTTCTAGATATCAGTTGTTCCGTAGGGTACGAGGCATTTTAAGACTGAACATATGCTCATGCATGGCCTTGTCTAGTCTGTTCTTGAACGCGTTCATACTCGGAGCGTCAACAATATCTTCAGGGAGGCTGTTCCACATGTCAGTGACTCGAAGCGAGAAGAAATGTTGTCGCGTGGATAAGTTGAACCGCAGTTTTTTTAGTTTATAACTGTAGCCCCTGGTGTTGGTTCTTGTTTCAAATTCTATTAATCCTTCTGGGACCTCATCAGATGAATAATCATAGTTACTTCATCTATTATATCTATTATCATTCATTTCTATTGCGACGCTCATAAATGAATAATCTTAGTTCATTCATTTACTATATCTATTATCATTCATTTCTATTGCGACGCTCATAAATGAATAATCTTAGTTCATTCATTTATTATTATTCATTTCTACTACTTGTTTCGCCTTAATTTTTGTTAAGTTCATCTTGTATGAGGTATTTTTTTCATATCTCGTTTTCTTTACACCCTCTTACTTCGTTTTGTACGTCGTGTTATAAAAAATTTAGTAACGATTGTGATGACAATGACGGTTACCGAGAATGTAATTAGTTCAATTCTATTCTTTTCCTAATTTTTAATAGGTATGGAGACATATTTTCATGAATTCATACAAATATATTAATTATAAATAATATTAATATTAGGTAAAAATAAAGATTTGCACTATGTTTTGTTCCAGACAAACTTGTTCGGCGTGGCTACGCTGATAGCAGACTTCATCCCTGGTGGGGGCATCTTCCCCACGTATAGGTGAGGCTGGGGAACATGACTCAACATCTAACAACATTAATAAATATCTATGAACATTTAGAATATCAATGAACATTTAGAATATCTATGAACATTTAGAATATCTATGAACATTTAGAATATCTATGAACATTTAGAATATCTATGAACATTTATGCATTGAAATGATGCATTGTTACAGGTGAGGCTGGCAGAACATGACTCAACATCGAACAACATTAATGAATATCTATGAACATTTGTGAACTCTGCCAAACATTGCATTGTGTTGTCGATAACACATAATAATTAAGCAGACCTAAGTTGTGAAGTGACGTTGTCTTGTAATGTTCCTGCCTACCGCTGCGGTGATGAATATGATGATATGTACTTTTTGGAAGTTACATAAACACAATTAATGATATTGAAATTATTTTGATATGATGTTAAAATGACAACTATGACATCATTTGCATCTGGTGTAGCGCCGTGGGGCATTGAATAACTAAATTCACTCGATCTAACCCCAAGAGCCCCACTAGGCGCACGTACCCAAGACCCCATTTACCTAGCTAGCTCCACTAGTTCCCCGAGCCCCACTAAATCTACTTATCCCACTAACTTAGCTTCACTAGTCCCTCTAACCAATCTAGTAACCCACTAACTCTTCTAACGGTACTAATCTCACTAGCCCCACTGTCCCCACTAGCATCAATAGCCCCACAACCTTATTAACCCCACTAGCCCACTAGACCCTACTAGCTCCACTAACCTCATTAATCTCACTAACCCCAATGGCACCGCCAACCCAACTATCCCTCTAACCTCATTAACCTCATAACCTCATTAGCCTCATTAACCTCATAACCTCATAACCTCATAACCTCATTACCCTCATTAACCTCATTAACCTCATTAACCTCACAAGGGTTGACGGGGTACGGCTGCTGCAGCATCAGGGAGACTTCAACCTCTTCACGTACCTGATGGAGGCGAGCTTCGTGCTCTTCGTCGCGTACTTCACCGTCATGGAACTTCGTCTTCTCGTCCGCCTTAAGAAGAAGTACTTCGAGAACTATTGGTCCTACGTCGAGATAGGTCTCATCGTCGCGGGGTACTCTGCCATCGTCCTCTACGTGCTCAGGTACGCGTCCCCAGAGGTACTGGTACGTCCTGTACTGGTACGTCCTGAGGTACACGTCACCAGGGGTACTGGTACGTCGCCTTAAGAAGAAGTACTTCGAGAACTATTGGTCCTACGTCGAGATAGGCCTCATCGTCGCGGGGTACGCTGCCATCGTCCTCTACGTGCTCAGGTACACGTCACCAGGGGTACTGGTACGTCCTGTACTGATACTTCCTGTACTGGTACGTCCTGTACTGGTACGTCCTGAAGTAGACGTCACCAGGGGTAGTGGTATGTCCTCAGGTACACGTCACCAAGGGTACTGGTCCTACTAAGGTACACGTCACCAAGGGTACTGGCTCTACTAAGGTACACGTCACCAGGGTACTGGTCCTACTAAAGTACACGTCGCCAGGGGTACTGGTACGTCCTCAGGTACACGTCACCAGGGGTACTGGTACGTCCTCAGGTACACGTCACCAGGGGTACTGGTACGACCTCAGGTACACGTCACCAGGGGTACTGGTACGACCTCAGGTACACGTCACCAGGGGTACTGGTACGTTCTCAGGTACACGTCACCAGGGGTACTGGTACGTCCTCAGGTACACGTCACTAGAGGTACTGGTACGTCTTCAGGTACACGTCACCAGGGGTACTGGTACGTCTTCAGGTACACGTCACCAGGAGTACTGGTACGTCCTCAGGTACACGTCACCAGGAGTACTGGTACGTCCTCAGGTTCAATTAGAAGTGTAGGATTTCAAAATATCAATTAAACTGCACTGCTATGTTGCAGTTGAGCCAAAGTTGCAGATGCTAAACTCATAAGACCAATCTCTTCCTTGCATCAAGTCTTCCATAATTATTTTGTTTCACTACTCGACCGACGTAGTCACATGGAGTTTCGACTGAGAAATTAGCTCCGTTTGATTACATAGATTTCAGAAGTTTGATTCTGAATACCTTGGGTGCATAATACATTTCAACCACAGTAAAGGTAACTAGGGCGGTAGGTAACAGTAAAAATAACTAGATCCCGTTACCATTACAGCACTGGTTCACCTTAGCCCAGTTACCGCGATTACCCGTGACTCAGGTGTAGTGAGGGATTACCCTCACTACACAAGGGTTAAGTTACTCTCACATATGACTCAGGTTACCCTCACTACACAAGGGTTAACTCTCACATATATAACTCAAGTTACCCTCACTACACAAGGGTTAAGTTACCCTCACATCAGGTACCTGGAGACGGCCAAAGCGCTGGCCATCTTCAACGCGACGTGGGGTAACTCAGGTTACCCTCACTACACAAGGGTTAACTCTCACATATATAACTCAGGTTACCCCCACTACACAAGGGTTAACTCTCACATATATAACTCAGGTTACCCCCACTACACAAGGGTTAACTCTCACATATATAACTCAGGTTACCCCCACTACACAAGGGTTAACTCTCACATATATAACTCAGGTTACCCCCACTACACAAGGGTTAACTCTCACATATATAACTCAGGTTACCCCCACTACACAAGGGTTAACTCTCACATATATAACTCAGGTTACCCCCACTACACAAGGGTTAACTCTCACATATATAACTCAGGTTACCCCCACTACACAAGGGTTAACTCTCACATATATAACTCAGGTTACCCCCACTACACAAGGGTTAACTCTCACATATATAACTCAGGTTACCCCCACTACACAAGGGTTAACTCTCACATATATAACTCAGGTTACCCCCACTACACAAGGGTTAACTCTCACATATATAACTCAGGTTACCCCCACTACACAAGGGTTAACTCTCACATATATAACTCAGGTTACCCCCACTACACAAGGGTTAACTCTCACATATATAACTCAGGTTACCCCCACTACACAAGGGTTAACTCTCACATATATAACTCAGGTTACCCCCACTACACAAGGGTTAACTCTCACATATATAACTCAGGTTACCCCCACTACACAAGGGTTAACTCTCACATATATAACTCAGGTTACCCCCACTACACAAGGGTTAACTCTCACATATATAACTCAGGTTACCCCCACTACACAAGGGTTAACTCTCACATATATAACTCAGGTTACCCCCACTACACAAGGGTTAACTCTCACATATATAACTCAGGTTACCCCCACTACACAAGGGTTAACTCTCACATATATAACTCAGGTTACCCCCACTACACAAGGGTTAACTCTCACATATATAACTCAGGTTACCCCCACTACACAAGGGTTAACTCTCACATATATAACTCAGGTTACCCCCACTACACNTGGTGAGTATTGTGAGGGGTGGTGAGTATTGTGAGGGGTGGTGAGTATTGTGAGGGGTGGTGGGGTGAGATTGTGAGGGCTGGTGAGTATTGTAATGGTTGGTGAGTATTGGGACTATAGGCTAGAGTCAACATGAGTAAAAAATTAAGCAGCTCATCCATCTGTTCATCCACCTAATGATTCATCTAATGACGCACCTCCCCTCATCCATGCACCAATACATCTGATGGATGTAGGTAATCCATCACCCCTGTCCCCCACTTGTCCATCGACCTGTCCATCCACCTGTTTACCCACCCGTCCTTTCACCTATCCTTTCACCCGTCCACTCACCCTTGGCCCCCATCAGGCATCCTGTCGGCGACCCTAAGCAAGTGCTGGGACGATCTGAGCAGCTTCATGGTCGCCTTCCTCATCTGCTTCGGCGCCTTCGTCTTCCTCTTCTACATGATCCTGAACTGCGTGCTGACAGACTTCTCTGACATCGTCATCGCCGTGGAGACGTGCTTCAGCATGCTGCTGGGTGAGTGGCATGCTGCTGGGTGAGTGGCCTGAACTGCGTGCTCACTGACTTCTCTGACATCGTCATCGCCGTGGAGACGTGCTTCAGCATGCTGCTGGGTGAGTGGCATGCTGCTGGGTGAGTGGCATGCTGCTGGGTGAGTGACATGCTGCTGGGTGAGTGGCATGCTGCTGGGTGAGTGGCATGCTGATGGGTGAGTGGCCTGAACTGCGTGCTCACTGACTTCTCTGACATCGTCATCGCCGTGGAGACGTGCTTCAGCATGCTACTGGTTGAGTGGCATGCATCAGCATAGTCTGAACCACCGATAACACTGATAAGTAAGTCTGTGGCCAACACAAATGCAGTTAACACCTCAGCCGAGACTGTAATGGTACGACACGGAGACTTAAGGTGCACTGGGGCCATACTTTCAAAACTCGCTAAGTGAACTCTATTTTCTCTAACGTTCAAAATTCGCTAAGTGAACGTAAGTACTTACGCTCTATTTTCTTGTCTATGATTGGTGGATTTTGCTAGAAAGGCTGCCAATGATTGGCTGATGAACTTACGATCTCTTAACTTTTTTTAAAGTATAGGCCCTGATATCGGGACGAAACATGTACATAAATTGTGATATATTATCTCTTGATTGTCAGTACAAGGACATTGTACTTGTCAGCACAAAGATATTGTACTTATGTTTTTCTTAACTTTTCGAACAGATAATGAAGTTGGCTAAAAAATTGTGCAATGAAATTATAATTAATTTTTTGGCTTTTTTCTCTGGTTGTGAACTATCTTTATTGGCGAATTAAAAACAATAAAAATAAAGGAATTTATAATATATGAAAATTCAATTAAATTTTAACTTTATTGTTATTTAATAATTGTGATATGTCAATGTTATGAGTATTAAGATTATTTAGTTGCTTAAATCGCAAATTTATCAGGAATTTAAAAGCAAAGAAAATCATCTAATATTTCACCATTTCTTATAAGAGAAAACGTTTAGGAGTCTAGCTCCATCGTCAGTTTGACGACGAAAATCGTCAAAACTTTTTGACGATTTTCTTTGCTTTTAAATTCCTGGGGCCATACTTTCAAAACTCGGTAAGTGAACGTAAGTACTTACGCTCTATTTTCTTGTCTATGATTGGTGGATTTTGCTTGAAAGGCCGTCAATGATTGGCTGATGAACTTACGATCACTTAACTTTCTTTGAAAGTATAGGGCCTGGTGCTTTACTTTCAAAACTCGCTAAGTGAACGTAAATACTTACGCTCTATTTTCTTGTCTATGATTGGTGGATTTTTCTTGAAAGGCCGTCAATGATTGGCTGATGAACTTACGTTCACTTAACTTTTTTGATAGTATAGGCCCTGGTCAATGTTAATAATCAGGGGCCATACTTTCAAAAAAAAGTTAAGATATCGTAAGTTCATCAGCCAATCATTGACGGCCTTTCAAGCAAAATCCACCAATCATAGACAAGAAAATAGAGCGTAAGTACTTACGTTCACTTAGCGAGTTTTGAGAGTATGGCTCCTGGTCAATGTTATTAATGAGGCAACCATTACATGTACAGGAAAGTTCGACTTCGATGAGATGAAGGAAGCGAACGCGTTCGTGCCGATGCTGTTCTTCGTGTTCGTCATGACGAACTCCGTGGTGCTTATCAACCTGCTATTCACCATCATCATACAGGCCTTCGAGCTGGTGAGGGATGGTGATAATGGTGGTGGTGGTGGTGCTCATCAACCTGCTCTTCACCATCATCATTCAGGCCTTCGAGCTGGTGAGGGATGGTGATAGTGGTGGTGGTGGTGGTGGTGGTGGTGCTCATCAACTTGCTATTCACCATCATCATACAGGCCTTCGAGCTGGTGAGGGATAGTGATAGTGGTGGTGGTGGTGGTGGTGGTGGTGGTGGTGNCACTACATGTACAGGAAAGTTCGACTTCGATGAGATGAAGGAAGCGAACGCGTTCGTGCCGATGCTGTTCTTCGTGTTCGTCATGACGAACTCCGTGGTGCTTATCAACCTGCTATTCACCATCATCATACAGGCCTTCGAGCTGGTGAGGGATGGTGATAATGGTGGTGGTGGTGGTGCTTATCAACCTGCTGTTCACCATCATCATTCAGGCCTTCGAGCTGGTGAGGGATGGTGATAGTGGTGGGGGTGGTGGTGGTGGTGGTGGTGGTAGTGGTGCTTATCAACCTGCTCTTCACCATCATCATCCAGGCCTTCGAGCTGGTGAGGGATAGTGATAGTGGTGGGGGTGATAGTGGTGATAGTGAGGGTGGTGATAGTGATGATGATAGTGATGATGATGGCCTCACGTACCCCCATTACCCCGCAGGTGAAGCATGACCTCCACATGCAGCCCAACGAGTACGAGATTGTGGACTTTGTGTGGCAGACCGTGAAGACCACACTGGGTCTGCAGACCAAGGAGAGGATGGAGGCCCTGCAGACCACGTCCACCGTGCCTGAGGACTTCGATGAGACGGACAAGCTGGAGGTCTCCCAGCTGCCCGACAAGATGGACAAGTGAGTGGACGGATGGACAAGTGAGTGGACGGATGGACAAGTAAGTGGACGGATGGACAAGTAAGTGGACGGATGGACAAGTGAGTGGACGGATGGACAAGT